CCGCCTCGCACCGTGAGAGGAGTCGGTCGCTGCTGGTGGCGCTACCGCCGACCCCCTCGTGCCCTCCACCGGCTCAGCACACACGTAGGGAGGCGCGCAAGGCGCCTGGGGTCGGTGCCCTTTGCCTACCGGGACCCAGTCGGGTCTGAAAGCTGCTAGTTGTTGTCGCTGGATTTTCTGTGAGGGGGAAAGTAACGCGAAAAAGAGACGGCGTCAACTCGCTGCCTTTGCAGAGAGAAAGAGAGAAAGAGACCCGCTCCTGTGAGGCCCTGGCTCCCTAACGGCATTGCGGGAGGGAGAAGGCAAAAGTGAGGTGAGAGATGAAGGAAAGAGCTCTCCTTCGTTTGCTCAAGACATTTTGCTACCTGAGGCAAAGAACAAGATGACGCTTGCCTTTCGTATTCTCGACACTGGAAGCTGGCCTCTGGCTTCCATGGCAGCTGTAGGCATAGGTGGTCGGAAGGAGGGTTCGCTCCCCGACTCTGGCTGGGATTAGGCACGCGCACCCCACTGGACAGCCGTCTAGTTTAGAGACTGCAGATGAGCCTATATGGCGCTCAACTCACTCCCCGCACACTTTGGCCCCGCTTCTTAATATCTGCTGCCTGAGGAAACTGCCTCACGTTGCCAAATGGTAAAGCTGGGCCTGTTCACATGTTTAAAAATGCATGTATCTGACCCTCATAACAGACCTGCTTGCCTTTGCCAGTAATAGTGGTGCTAGTGGTGATGGAGGAAGACACAGGATGTAAATGTTGCCAGACCATAGCCCTACATTCAAGTCATTTTTGACTCAAGGTGATTCTATGAATTAATGACCGACAAAAGGTCTTGTCATTAACAACTCTCCTCAGGACATGTCAAGTTTCTCTCATCTTTTTTTTCCCTAAGTAATCTTCTCCAGCAGTATGGCTTTTTCCAGGGAATGTTGTCTTCTCATGAAATGTCTGAGGGGCAAAGTATGATAGCCATCATTCAGTTGTCTTTGCTTAGTAAGGATGGAGGCTTTGATCTAGAGCCTATTTACTTGTCTTTCTAGCATCCACAGGATCAGTAAAGCATTCTTCCAATGCTACACTTTGAGTGAATTTTTTTAGTAGTTCCTTCATTGCCCAGCTTTCAAATCTGCACACTATAATCAGCAGTAACAGTGCCCCTGTGTTCCTTTGTTTTCCATATTTATTGACATAGTTTGTTAAGATTTTGATAGTCTCTGTCACTTGAAATAACCCTATTGGTATCTCATCTACTTGTGATTTGTTTCTTCCAGTTGCTTTCAGAGCAGCTTTCAGATCATGTCATAAAAATCACTTTTTTATTTAAAGATTCAAAAAAAAATTGAAGGAATTTCTCACCCCTGTACAGGTAGCTAGCTGTTCAATACACTTTTTCCAGCTTCTTTATATTTTGTTTTGATCAGATATTATATTGGTCTTTTGTCCTGATCAGATACTGTATTAGATCTGTGGGATCACACAGAAGAGATCTTTTATTCTTTTTTTGAGGGGACAGCGGTAATGATTATTATAATAATTATCTTTATCCTTGCTTGCAAGTGTCTGAAGCATTGCATTTAGGATTCTAGACCTGCTTCTATCAACATTTGCTGTTCCTTCTTGTCTGTTGTTAACAATTTTAAGTTTCTTCATTCATCTGTCAAGATTTTTATTTTGGCCAAAAATAGTTCTGTTGCATTCTTCTTTTATAATGTTTCTGCTTTCATTCCACTGTTCTTCTGGTTCATGGTAAGTTCAGTTTAGTAATGTAAATCTGTTCATTACAAAGTTTTAAAATTTCTCAGAAATGTTGTTTAAATTACTTTTGGCATTATGAAAATTTTAGTGTTCTACTCTGTTTTTGATACAGTCTATACTGCAATCAACTCCTAGTTTTGTTTTTTGCAGATAGAATAGAAGTCTTCTGCTTCTGGTAATACTGTATTATTACTTTATTCACCTCTGTGTGTAAAATCATCTGTTCAACTGCCTGAAGCATGCATTTTCAATAAACCAATTGTTGGTTTCACATAATTATATGAGTCACTCTCAAACTTTATTTCTGACATAGACCAATTTCTCCACAATTTTCTGATTCTGCTTCATTTCCAATATCTGTCTTCCTGGCAACATACCTATCAGCCCATCCATTCTGGTATATAGTCAATTTCCTTCTGAACACTTGCATAGCTTACAATTTTGCCTTCTTCAGCATCTGTAGCTCGGAGTGTAGACCAGAATGATGGTTAAGTTTATGGGCTTTCCATGAAGTCTGGTTCATATTACTTGGCCAGATTTTTATTATACCTCCTAACTTCTTCTGCCATCTATTGCTTCACTATTGGAGCAACATAGTTTCTTCTAGGTTTGTTATATCCAATGTAAAACATTTTGTTTGTTTGTTTGCTGCACTTTTGTACCACCTTTCTCCTATCAATGGAACTCAAGGTGCCTTTCAGATAATTAAAAGGACAATAATTATTACAACATCTAAGAAATATTAAAATTATTAAATATGGAAATATTGAAATCATCATATAAAAAGAAATTTAAAAGTAAACAAATATTTAAAAAACACATTAAGAATATAATGGCAGCAGGTAGATTTATACAACTGAAAATGTCCTATTTCAATGCAATTTAGTTTGATCTCACCCAGTATTGCAGTATTTAATGCTTTATGTTTGCATTTACTTTGGTTCATATGATTCAGATCCCATGTCCCAGATATGTTATATAGCATCACACCTGCTTTTTGCAACTACACATCAGTAAACAAACGTCTTTTGGTTTTAACTTAAAACTGGGGCTTATTTTTTGGTTAGGACTTATATTACAAGCATCCCGAAAAATCATAGGTAAAGGTAAAGGTTCCCCTTGACATTTAGTCCAGTCATGTCCAACTATAGGGGGCGGTGCTCATCCCTGTTTCCAAGCCATAGAGCTAGCATTTGTCCGAAGACAGTTTCTGTGGTCACATGGCCAGCGTGACTAGCCACGGAACGCCGTTACCTTCCCACTGTGGTGGTACCTGTAGTGAACAGCCCTGACCTCACCTACCTGTCACCGCGGAACATTGACGCAGGAGCCAATGAGAGAACAGAAGGTGGAGCCGGGGGAAAGGAGCAAGATAAAAGACTGGTGGAGAGAGTCTGAGAGAGACAGTGTGTGGCTTAAAAGTAATGAAGAGTGAGTTAGAGAACTGTAAGAGTGTAGATTGAAGATAATGATTATTATCTTCCCTTGTTAAATAAAAGACTTATTTTTTGACACTTATCAACACTTAATTGATATTAAAACATTAATATCTGGTGACAGCGAAGAAGGAAGAGCAACAACCTTGTGAAAGCCAGAGGAATAGGGACTTCAGAGGCGATCGCGACAGTACCTATTTATATACTTGCATTTTTACGTGCTTTTGAATTGCCAGGAGCTGGGAAAAGTGATGGGAGCTCACTCCATCATGTGGATTCGATCTTACGACTGCTGGTCTTCCAATCTTTCAGTACAGAGGCTTCTGCGGTTTAACCCACAGCACCACCACATCTCACATACTAGGGCTTATTTTCAGATTAGGTCAGGTCTTGGGGGAACACAGGGTATTGTCTGTGAAAAATCCCTTGCCAGCATTATATTTTGCTACTGCCTTCTAGCAGTAGCCATTCATGAATGTCTCAACTCCCAGCACCTTTGGAATGAGAGGTTGCCCACCTGTAATTGTAGTTCTTCGGGTGGACCTCTGTGATTCACACCCTGTTTGATCCGCACCTGCGCGGAACCTCATCGGAAGATTCTAGAGCTTCTGCATTAGCAATGAACACATTAGAATATGTGTTCATTGTATAAGTAACTTGGAACCAAGCCTGCCTTCATTTTATGTAACCCTTTCCCCGCCTGATGTGGTTTTTTTAAGACTTAAATCAACCGTCCCTCCCATTTTGAAGATATTAAGCTGGTCTCCATCCATCACAGAGCAAATTGGAACACATTCCCATTCTCTGAAGGCTGGGCTCTTGTTTTTTTCCCCTTTTTTTAAAAACAGGGGTCAGTCCCTTTTTGATTTCTAAAAAATGATTGTCATTTTCCACTTTTTTTTATCCTGGAGTGGAAGTCAGAATAACCACTTTAATTTTTTCTTCCCCTCCCCTTCCCTCCCCTTTATTTTCTTTTCTTTTTAATGTACATAAATGTATGGGGGGAACCAGGGGACGTGGTGGCACTGCGGGCTAAACCGCAGAAGCCGGTGCTGCAGGGTCAGAAGGCCAGCAGTCGTAAGATCGAATCCATGCAATGGAGTGAGCTCCCGTTGCTTTGTTCCAGCTCCTCGCCAACCTAGCAGTTCGAAAGCATGTAAATGTGAGTAGATAAATAGGTACCACCTCAGTGGGAAAGTAAAACGGTGTTCCTTAGTCATGCTGGCCACGTGACAACGGAAACTGTCTTTGGACAAGTGCTGGCTCTACGGCTTGAAAAATGGGATGAGCACCACCCCCTAGAGTCGGACACGACTGGACTAAAAATGTCAAGGGGAACCTTTACCTGAAAATTAGGAATAGGCCTCCCCCACTTCATTAATATATTTTAAGGACATGCATCCAGGGCATCAGACTATGCATGTCCCAATCTGCTCCCTCCCC